CCCCTTCCTCCCTCCCTTCCTTCCTTCCCCTTCCTTCCTTCCCTCCCCTTCCTTCCCCTTCCTTCCTTCCCCTTCCTTCCCTCCTCCCTCCCTCCCTTCCAGTAACGCAGCCGTCTTCTCCTGGGTCCCTCTGGAAAGTCTAATTCAAGGGGTGCTGATGAGGACCCCATTTATCACTGTCGGGTACCAGGGATCCGTAATTCGCTCACGTAAGGAACAGGCTGATCCCCAGAGGAGCTCGGCCCCGCGAAGCAGCACCCAGCAGCACCCTCGCTGGCTCCCGGGCGCCAGGGAACACCGTTTCCCTCTGCCAAAGCTCTAAAGCTCCGCCAGGTGCTCACAGCGACTGCAAGCTCCAGCCCCCCAGCAGGCCTCCCTCGCGCAGGGCTCCCCACTCACCGTACCTGGTGGTACTTCTTTAAGATGTTGTGCATCTCCGCCACGTCCTCGCTCGACACCGCCTTGATGACGAACCTCCGGTCGTAGGTGGTGAGGAAGCGGGCGCCGCACCGGCCCTGGCTGTCGCTGTTCACCGGGGCGCTCCGCGTCACCGAGTTCTGCGGCAACGGGAACCAAAAGGTGGGCAAGACAGGCAGGAACTGCCACTTCCCCAGGGGAGAAAATTGGAAAATTCCTTTCCAGGGTGCAGAGCTCCTTCACAAGCCACCTACCCTTCCCTGAGCGCTCAGCACCAAGGTTAACCCCTGCAATTCACCAGTCTGTTAGTGGGTGTCAAGATGACAAGGAAGGACAAGGAAGGAAGGCAAGATGTCTTAGGAGTTTCTCCTGGGAAACCAAGAACAACTATGATATTTCCAAGGAGTTTCGAAGGAAATAAATAAATGCACGGAACAAAACAAATAGATAAAACAAACGCACAAGACTTGACTTCTTTTTCATCAAAAAGTAGCATTAACCGTCAAAAAGCTTTTAGTTTCAGGATAACCTGTAATGAATTCCCCGTCTTGGGGGGAAACTCTTGTTGGGGAATTCTTTACAGGTTGTATTGAAACCAAAAGCCATCCTCAGCTTCTGAAACTCTTACAATTGGACGAAACAGATGAGCGAGTATAAATAGATCGGTTGTTCTTCCGAGAACCAAGAGCATCTGTCTTTATATTGCTGTACCCACCCTTAGCAACGAAACACTGCGGCTTCTCCGTGTATTTGCAGCACAACTGCAAGATCACAGGATCCTTCAGGTTGGAAGGGACCTTTAGGGATCAACCATGGGCCAGCTCATCCGTGTCCTGCTCGTTTCCCCAGTGCTTCTCAGCACCCCAGGGACCAGGGTGTGCTCAGAAGCCATCGAAGCAKCTCCCCAGCACTTCCTCACCACGAGCGCTTCGGTGGTGCTTGCTCTGGAAACTATGATGCAGACGTCTCGGCTTTTGGCTGCAGGTAGCTGCGTTTTGCAGGACCTTGCCTTTTCCAGGGCGGTTTTGGTGATGCTGGTGTCTCTCTGGAGAGCAGGCAGCAGAGGGAGCCTGCTGGTCTGCAGACGCACGCAGCGCGCGGGCGAGCGGGGCCCATTCATTGTCACGCTGCAAGCGAGCCCGGAGGTTTCCTTTCCGAACGAAGCATTTACAGCTTCTAAAATTTTAATGAAGCAGGGGAAAACCTCTACTCCTGCCAATGGCTTTAGAAGCCGTCAGCGAAAAACCACCCCAAAAATCAGAAAAATGTTGCTTTCATGTGCAGAGGAGCCCGCCTTGCACAGCTTAAACACCCATCACCTCAAAACCACAGAGCTTTCCTTCGAGAGGAGATGGGAAGCAGAAATCGTGACCACATATGGGCATTACCAAACTCACAGCCCTTGAGTTTACTTCATTCCCTTCCTGTCACTCCCACCTTCTCCGGAGTCTGGGTGTTAAATTTAGCGTCCTGGCTTAACTCCCACTCAAGCCATCGAGTTTTCCCCACCTGAATCCAGCTCAGTGGATGTTTCTGCTTTCTGCTCTAGGTGGACGCTTCTAACCAGCCACACTGCCCTGCCCTACAAATGGGAGAGGTGCCCGTTTGGAGCAACACAAAGGAAAGACCAAGAAAGAGGGAACCAACACACCTGCACGCACCTCGCTGTGTTAGTTTCCATGGTTCTGATCAATTTTTAAAATGTAGGGAAAAAAAAAATCAATCTAAAATATACTACCGTAGATGGACACGAGAGAAAGCAAGGATTAGGAGCTGAGGATTTCCCACGTGCAGGAGGCAGGGCGGAAGGCAGCAGGCGGCGCGATTCCCCGGTGCAGGCAGCCCGGGACAGGGCTCTGCCGGCGGAGCAGCCTCCCCAGGAGCCGCTCGCAGCCTGGCCCAAATCCCGCCAGGAGCAGGAGGCGACGGTCCCGCGGCTCCTGGCGAGGCGCCAGCGCTGCCTAGCAAACGGCCCTGRCGGCGGGAGGGCAGGAATCCAATTAATCACCTAACAGGAACGTGCTGGAGAAGAGCGGGAACTGAGCAGCTGCCTTYTCACGGGGGGACCCCGGGTGCGTCCCTGTGGCCATGAGGGAGCAGAGCACGGGGGGCAGGTGCTGCACGTTTGGCCCCAGCAGAGCAGAAACTGCATCAAGCAGATCCAGTTTCTCACCAGCGCAGTGAGCCGTGCAGCTGGAGGGGGAAAACAGATCTCTTTATTACATGGACCCCGAAACAGGAAGAGATCGGGCGATAATCTAGAGATAAAGACAGAGTTGTGTCAGTCTTGGGGAGGTGCACGGACACACACAGGGGTGAGGGCGCACACGTGCAGCTGGGGGCACTGCCAGGAATAGCCACGTCCCTTGTCCTCTGTCCCTGCAAAGCAGGCAGCCGGGACAAACAGGTAGGGAAGGGAGAGGGGGAGCCCCTCGAGCCACCCCTGCCCCTCGCAGCGCGAACGCMGTCGGTTCCCGGCCACTTCCAGCGGATCTGCTGGAGATCCGCTGGCCAGAGCTCTGTGCCAGCCGGCGCTGGCGCCCTGCCCGCCTTTATCAACTGCAGCCGAGTGCCAGAGATACTGGGTTTAATTACCTGACACTTGGCCTGCTAAAGGTCGCACCACTATCAAAGCCATTCTCCTCTTTCAGTGCTGGTTTTTCGCCTCTTGTTTAAGTGCTCCCTTGCCAGGCTGCTCCTGCTGCTGGCATCTCCTCGGGGGTCCGGAGTGAAAGCCGCGTGCCCGAGGGGAGCCCTGCTGTGGCAGCAGGACTTGTGACATCTCCTTTGCACTGGATTCAAGCCACATCGCATTAATACAAGAAAAGCCTCTCCCCTYTGAGGCAAGTCTGATCTTGCAGCCTCTGGGGACACATCCCAAAGCAGCGACCACCTTGATAAACCCAGTTCAGCAGCACCGATGTTTGGAAGGCGTGTGGTTAAAGCAGCATCAAAACCACAACAGATTCCTTTCCCTTGCAGATGTTCAGTACTAGATCATTGTTATCCTCCAGCTCCCTGCCTGCCTGCACCATCTGCTGCCTCTTATTTCAGGCCTAGTCTGGGAGCTCTCTGGAGCAGGGACCACCTTTCACTCTGCAATCGCTCGAGGCCGGGCATAGCCGGCCTTGCTCCTTTGCTGAGGGCCCGTCGGGCTACGGCAGAACCTTTCAAACCAGGATTAGGAGCCCCTGAAGCTGCTCRCACAAGAGCATTCACATCATTGTTTCTCCCCCAGCTTTATCACCCTGTCTTAAGCAAAGGAGTTTGGAAGGACACGGAGAGAAAAGGTACCTGGTAGTCCTGATCATCGATTCCGAATCTTTCCCGGAGGTTTCGGAAGACCAGCGGACAGTACTCCTTAAATTTGAAGCGACTTGGCAGGTTTTCCCTAGGGCAAAGCAGAAAGGACTGATATTCTCATGCAAGGAGCAGCTTGCGAAATCCAAGTCAATTCTCCTCCCATTTCACTGCTACCCCCCCAGGATGTCCAAGCCCCCTCCTCCCTACAAGGGCCCAGCTCTGGAAACATTTACCCTCCCTAGGACAGCCTGCCACAGAAGCCACCTATTCACAGAAAGGATTTCCAAATCCAGCCTTTGGCTTCGAGGGTCTCTGGACAAGGATGTCCATCTTACAGAAAAATCTCCCCTGTCACAAGCACAGATTTCACAGAATAATTTCTCTTTCCCACTCCTTTCTCACTCTGTTCCGTTCAGTAACGCAGCTGCCCCCTGCAACACACTGGTGCTGTTGAAGATGGAAAGCTGGAGGGAAGGAGGGCTCTGGTTTCAGACCAGATCACGGGTGCGTCAAAAGAAAGGTCAGCACGAGACAAGCTGTCTCACCCAGAACACAGAGCAGAGTGGGGGGAATCGGCTCCGCTCCAACACATCCCAGAGCAGTCCCAGCCTCTCCAGAGGGAGCCCTGCAGGCTGCGAATGAGGCTCCGCAGGGCACGGCGCAGCCTTCCCTGGCCCAAGGGATGTCCCACTGGCTCCTTCCCGGAGCTCTTACTCTGCCCTGCGAGAAGCAGCAGGGAAGACGGGCCTGCCTGGACTCCCTGGGGGAATTTTGCAGCTCGTTCTCAATGGGAATCCTTTGCACTGACACACGGAAAACTAACRTCTATGTAGGAGAGGAGAGGAAGAGCAGATACTGCTAATCGTAGGCGCCAGGGAAGAGAGGCAAACTTTTGAATCACACTCCCACTCTCGAAAAGCGCTGCCTGCAAAACGTGGTAAAAATGAAGCATTAATCGGGGAGCACTGCAGGCGTGCAGGAACGYAGCCTTGCTGCAGAAGAGCCCCTGGTGCCAGGCGCAAACAGGCTTCCCAAATCCATCTCTGGGGAAAGGATATGGGGGTGGCTCCCCACAACTCCCAAAGGGCCATGTGCACAGGGCAGCATCACCCTCGGCGTGATGCAGGTTTGGAGCACGGGTCTCACCATGGCAGATCCTCATATTCGGACATATTAACAAGAAAAGACAAACAAACAGAAAGGCCCTCACCACAGCAGTTTCCGCCCCCCCAAAGCAGAAAGAGCTTAATTTAGAGGGATRAATAACAAATTAGGAAACACCTACTTACTTGTTGAATAGATGATTGTCCACCTTAATCTTACTGTAGGCTTTAAAGTCATCGGGCATTAACATGACAGGAACAGGAACATTGCTGAGTTCATTGATCTGAAAAAGAGAGGAAACTGAAATTTAAAACTGAGTTTCCCTGACCTGCTGTTACTGCCAAGGGAGTTACAGGCACGCCAAATACCCCAGAAGCCATTTCTGAAGCAACACAACCCATGAGGTTTTGAGAGCCATCAAGAGAGCACTGTGGTTACGAGTGGCACAGAAACATCTCATTCAGCCATGGTGTGAGCTCTCCCGGAGCCAACCTCAGCTCTTTCATTCGTTCACCCTTTCCTGATCACCCAGGAAACAGCTGAGAATTGAGGCAAACCTACAGGCCGAGGGATAATTTTATCTTTTAAAGAATTTGCCTTCTCCTTGATTTAAGGGATGTTGTGTCAGCCAACTTTATAACCAGATCTCACTGCTACAAATCACAGATGACCGAAACCTTCAACGTGAGCAGCCAGAGCAGACAGGCACGCAGCCTCYGTGCAAGACGGCGTGGCTGCCCTGTGGATGCTGTCTCTGTGCTTGCCGTCTCTTACTGCTCTTATCCCACCTTCTCCAACGGGATGAGTCATTCCACTAGATTGTTTTTGCTCCTTAGTCATGTGTGGCAAGCACAGGAACACAGCGACGCCAAAGAATCAACGCTCTGCTGCTACTGCCCAGGCAGCCTCACGCTGCAGTGCCCAGCAGCGAAAGCATCCATAGGAAACAAACCCCTCCGGGCTGCATCTGCCTGCAGCGCCATTCCCAGGATTGCTGTGCTTCCCGGCTCCGTGCACGCAGCAGGACACACAGCCCGGCCCCAGGAGCTGCTGCCCGTTCCCAGCACGGAGGAGGCACCGGCGAGTGACAGGGACAGCAGCATCCGTGGCCAGCTCAGCTCCGCAAGGAGCGCGGAGGCCGGCAGCCGCTCCAGGATGCCTTTGCTCAGCGGGGATTTTTCCACATCTTTTCCCTGCTGTTGCTGGACCAGACTAACAAACGTCAGGCTGCAAGCAGCGATGCAGACACGCTGCAAAGAAGAGAGAGGACTATTTTCAGAGACGCTCATCCCACGCAACAGATAAGGGGAAAGTTACCCGGCCGGTGCTCGGTGAGGGGGGCTCCGTAGGGCCCTGCCCGGCGCTCACTTTGCAGCGGCTCTGAGSAGCTTTAAGTGCTCCCCGAAAGCGCCTCAGGACCCACGGCCTGTGCCTGAACACTGCATGGATGAATCGTGTCACAGGCCTCCCATCTGCTGGGATCAGAACGGGACAGGAAGGCCAATATACCCTGCACAGGATCCCCTTGATCCCGCACAGAGCCMGTCCTGGAGCTGCAGCAGAGCAGGGTGAAGGACAGAGGCCAGCCTCCCACATCTTGGGGACCAGCTCGCAGTTCTTCTGCACCAAAAAGCCCCATGCAGCGACTTCCCCTCAGCGAGAAGGGGGAAAAMCAGCTAGTTCTGCACCACCCTGCTAATTCTGCACCGAGTCGCCGCACGTCGGCCCATCGTCATAGGGCCCTGGACCGGTTCAGGGAGACRCACAACAACCGTGAGGAGCAGACCCGGCTGCACCGAGTGCTGGGACCGGGACATGCCCACACTCCGTGCACCCAGAGCACAAGCCCTTCGGATGAAGGACGTGTCTCCAGACCCAGCGTGGTGCTGTTTTTATGCAAGTCATACAGCCTTTTAGATGTAATCTGGCTTAAACCCTTTTAAAAATAAGCCTGTGCTTTCGCACAGCCCTGTTGGCCTTTTTTTCCCCAGGAGTTTTCTGCCCGATRGGGGAAGAGAAAGTACGGAGACCCCCTGAGCAGGTGTCACCCTGAAAGCAACGGCTACAAACTCTGCTTTCCACCGGYGCCTGCGATTCGCAGCGAAATGCAGGGCATCCCCCTGCCCTCCCTGGGCAGCAGCCGGGCTGCCCCGGCCCCAGCGGGCAGGAAAAGGGCTCCCTTCCCTCCTCCTCCTGTGCTCACCTTTCCTCATCACGGCATTTCTCCAGCAACACCAGTCCGTGCCATCCTGGGTTTATTACTTAGTAATTTGCCTTTCCCACCAAAGCCAAATTCCCCCTTTTTTTTCTCTCCAATAAAAGACATCAATATTCTGTGTCATTTAGGGACAGCTGTTAGAACGAATGGGCCAGACATAATTTTGTTTCAAAACCTGACTGTAGCCTCAAAGTGGCAATTACCATTAGTAAATTGATGGGAAAATGCTATTTGTTTACTAACAAGATCCAGATGATGGAGTGTGCGAGTCTCCTCTCCAGGATTCTTTACAAGAAGAATCTGCTTGAGAAAACACAAATACTTTGTTCCTCTCAATGCCCATCAGAGAGGCATCTCGAGGCACTTTGTGAGCATTAGTTAAACTCCGTAATTCTCCAGGGAAGCAGGTGAAAGACATATAGCAAAATGCCTTTAGTGTGGAGACAAGCCACATCTGTAGTAGAACTTTGCAGCTGCTGAACACTGCACAGCAAACGGTGGAGCCGGAAAGCARAGACTAGTTGGCTTGCGAAAAGACACCGTTTTCCATGAATTAGAGCATGATTAATCAGTATCCAGGCTAACAACCCCCCATGCAACGCTATGGATGCATGAATCTTGTAGTCAATAACCTGCGAGCGCTCGGGGACACCAGGATGCCCTATGAGAAGCAGCATCCCCCAGTGACCAGGGGCTCACGGCTGCCCAAAGCGCTTTGAGGGCTGCTCAAACCCTAACCCTATATATCCTATAGATCGTATCCTATATATCCCTTACGAGTGTGGCCTGGGGCAATTAAAAGCCATCCTCCTGTGCCACCTGCAAGCACCCACACTTGCCCTGTTCAAAAAACAGGGAACAGAGGTTCAATGACGTGCCCAAGGCTGCGCAGGTCTGCAGCGGAGCGGGAACCGGAGTCCAGCTTCCCTTGTCCAACTACCCACGACCTTCAGAGAGGGAAAAGACCTCCTGGAATCTCCATTTCTCCGGAGAGCGCTGGGATGCAAGGGCTCAGCAGCAGCACCCCGAACACCCGCCGCGGCCGCGCTCTCCAGAGGCGGGTGGGAGCCAGGGCACGGAGCGAGCGCTGCAAAGGACCAACACGGGCTGCTCCCCACGCGCCCGCGCCYGTTTACAGGACCTCGGTGTTCGCTGCGTGGCAGCGGCTGCCCCRGCGACGTTCAACGTGGCAGCACCGCACGCGACGCCGCGGTGGATGGAGAAGCGTGCTGCACATCCCAATGGTGCTGGGYGAGCTGAATGCTAACCCGGCGGGTTTTGTACGGGCTGGCAGCGCTCCTGGAGGTCCTGGGAGACGGGCTGGCGCTTCCGCCGCTGCCTGCGGCCCGCGGCAGAGCGGCCGCTCCAGACGAGCCCCGCGGAGCTGCCCATTCCATCAGCAACGGATGTTTATCCCGACCCCTTTCCCACCAAAGTCCCCAGAGCTACGAGGGTCTTTGAACGGCCGCCTAGAGAAGCGTCACCGCAGGAGCTTAACGGGGGCGGCCCAGAGCCTCCAACCACCGCAGCCGCGGGGGCCGTTCCCCTCCTCGCAGCCGGTGCCACGGGGCTGCCCCGCCGCCGCCTTCCCCCTCCACGGCTGCCGCGAGTCTCCCCCGGGAGCGGGAATGGCCTCCGCGGAGCGGCCGGAGCCTCCTGGGCAGCGCCATGACAACGGCGGCGCGCGGAGCTTCCCAGGGAACCGTCTCCGCGGATTTCCCAGTGCCGGCCGCGTGCAGAACAAGCGCCAACCGCCGAGACTCCCTTCCCTCTCCCACCTGCACCAGTCTCCTCTCCGCTCTGTGTTTTCCAGGCTCAAAATTTATCCGACRGACCAAAACCTCCGGCATTTGGCCCCGCTTTCAGCAGCCACAATCCACCCCGATGCCCATTCATTGGGTTGAGAGGCTGGGGACCACGAGGGCCCAACGCATCATTTAAACAGAGCACCTTAGGCCTGGTCTTCTGGAGCCAGTTCCCATTCCCGGTGCGCTCCCATTGCTGCTCCTGATGCTCTCCAGACCCGGCCTAGGCTGTATCCGCAGCAGCTGCTAACAAGCTTGTTTAAACACAAGGCAGGGCCGAACCGCTGCCAGACTCACTTAACGGACCCGGGGGAATTTCTTCGGTCAACAGAGATGGTGGATTGCATAAAATGGTTGTGTGGTTTGTCCAGGAAAAAAAGTTTGTCTCAACTKCAAGGATTTTGGACGGAATCTTGCCGGCTCGGCCTCGTGGTTGTGCTGATACCGGGGTTTCCTCCTCGGCCCGAACAGGGATCCCTGGGACGGGCCCCACGGCCTCCCCTCCTTGAAAAACTATGGTCCAGAAACCAAATATTAAACAAGCCCCGGAAGGTTTCTAAGCAAGTTAAGTTTCTAAGCAAGACAGCTACAGCAAAGCGGAGCTACCTGCCACGGAGCAGCAACCGGCCCCAGGACGCCGTGAAAATCAAGAGGAAACCCAATAATTTTGCTGCTTCTGTAGGGCTCCTAACAGCACCGCTGCAAATGATCCAATCTGAATAAATTCATTACTCTGCCTCTCGCCAAGGCCCCGAGCAGCATAAACTGCATGTCCTTTAAGGCAGGAAGACAATGCTGCGTTGAGCCACGTTTGGAAGGTTTCTCTCCACTGCCAGGTAAACTAGAAATAAAATTCTATTTCTAGGGAAAACATTGCTTATGTATAAATAGAAAAAATAAGCTCAAGTTGCCTTCACTTTCCAGGAAACTCTCCTTCCCTTCCCTGGAGGAATAGCTGTCTTTGAGGCCTGGAAGCRTCCCCATCTAGGAAGGGACAAGCATTTTGTGACCACCTGAACAGTCTTCCCAGAGAGCATCCAGCATCCATGGGCAGGAGACAGCAGCAGTGACCCTGTCCGCCCCATCCACACGGGATCTCTGCCTGCCATCAGATAAGGCGGAGAAGTTTCCAGAGGAAGACACCACGAGGGCCTCAGCAGCCTCCACGGGAGGCGGGTAAGAGCTGAGCCTTTCCCAGGCATTTCCAAGGGAGCTGTTCCCAGCTCCCTCCTAAGAGGAAGGTCACAGATTGTGGAGGTGCTGCCGGCCCAAGTTCTGGTGGCCAAAACCTAAGGTCGGAGGCTAGACTGATAGGGACAAAAAAAGCTTCTTATGGTTTAGGATGGAGGTAAGATGCAGACATAATCCACAACGGGACCTTCCAGGGAGGAAGGGAAGGGATCCCAAGTGGTGTTGGGTACCTTCAATGCTTGGGAAGAGAGGGAAGGACGTGGAGAAGGTGGAAGAGGGAAGCGACTCGGAGGAGAGAAGCAAGAGCCGCCCCAGGCTGGACCACGACAGCCCGAATCAGGGTCCCTGAGCACCCCGGGGTGCTTTGGGGAGGAAGCYCCAGTCCTAGAGGGGAACCACCCCAGGAACAGCTCTCCAAGGGATCCCTATCCAGAGCAACAGCGGCCTGGAAAGGACGGGGGTGTCTCACACAGGCAAGGCGCCCGCTTAGCACGGAAAGAACCCGGCCCAAAGGGATGAGAACCGTGCAGGGGGGAACGAGCCTGATCCAGGAGGGATGAGGAGGGTCTGMGGAGAGGCAAGGAAGGGGCCCCACAGCAGTGGGGG